CTCGCGTAGTTTTTCGATTCATTTCTCCGGTGGCCATTTTGGACACCGTTTGAGTGTTAAAATTCGAGCCTTTTGCCTTCGGGACGCGGCACTGAGTGGCCTGTGGCCTCATTTCTTTATTTCCAGTAGTAAATATTAATTATTTCCTTCATATTGTTGCCGTTTATCGGTTTTGATTTTGGAACTTTGTTCAATTTCTTCATTCGTGTGGCTCTCGCGTCGTCGTCGCTTGCGGGTGATCCTCGCGTCTTAGCGTCTCCCCCGCGTCTTTAAAGTTATTACTATTTCTTTTCGTTAATTAGTATCACTAGGTTAGTTACATTTTTTGTTTTCTTTTTATAGCGTCTTTGCTCGCGGGAGTCCTCTCCCGCACGTGTACAGAATCCTACGCTAATTCTCGTATGGACGAGTAAAAGATCACACTTAATTATGATTTGAAAATATAATTTTTTTTTGTGTTTTGTAAACAATTGCATATTGTTGAGTACGCTCATTGTAGCCTGTTCCCACACGCCTCCGCGGTTATCTGAGCTAGTCGTGGAACGCGGCTCAATGGTGTGACCTTGTCCTTTGGCGGTTAAAAGGACTGGCGCCCTTTTTGGCATTTTGTCTCCTCTCGTTATTCCCGTCGTTCTAATTCCGGGTTGAGGGAGTCCAAAAGGGTCGCTGAAAGTTCGTGGAAAACCACCCATCTGAATCCTGCAGACGCGCTTGGAAAAATACCTCACAATATATATATCAGGCATTGGGGAGATTAAAAAAATCGATTTTTCGTGAATCGATACTTACAAGGCCGATACTTTACAGGATCGATATTGAACTATTCGATTCGATACGATACAGAGTATCGATACTTTTCTGGGTATCGAAAAACACTAACCCAAATCACGCCTCTTCACATTATTTGATTGGTTTGTTCACCTCACGTGCAGTTCACTTGAACCGCCGTTCGATGTCACTCTCATCTCTCGCTCAGCTTCTTCAGCTGACGTTAGATGTCGCTCTCCTCTCTGTCCCTCACTCGAACCATTCTTGACTCATGGGTTTTCGTGTTCGTAAAACAGTTTACCGTAACGAGCAAATCTCGTTACAAATTATTTGTATATTCAAATGATTAGAAGATTCCATCAATCGAATATTTTTACTGGGTTATGAGTGAAATTTGGATATCTTAATTCACACCTTCTGACAGTCGCAAGGTCAGACTTTGGAAGGTCTTAATTTGATACTTTGAGAGTCTGAATTTGAGACTTTGAGAATTCCAATACAAGATTTTTGAATTTCACTTTATAGTGCTACGCGGATTTGAAATCGAGAGCTAAAAATGCTCTAGCTGCTCAAAATAAATCCAGGCGACAGACTGGGGGTGGCCCTCCTGTGAAACCGTCTCTTGATGCTGAGGATGATCCTCTTCTTGCGATTGTCGACCCAGTATTAATCAATGGATTAGATGGAACTGACAATTCTGAAGTAGATCTCGTGTCATCTAGTGATTCACAAATTTGGTGCCATCATTAAGAAATACATAAAAATTAAAGTCGCATAATAACTTTCCTAATAATATTATTTTAGAATCTTCCTGGGTCAGACGTGATGGAGAAACAAGAAGGAGATGATAATGGAGAGGATCTTGAACCCTTCAAGCAAAACGGAATAATTGAAGTCGAATATGTCGCAAGTTGAGGTGATCCGTCAACTTTTAAGGACACCAACTCATCTGCTGACAACAAATTTCCTGATGATGGATTCAACAACAATAATGGTGAAAATAAGGAGAATGATAGCAATGTTTTGAATAAAAGTCCAGCTGACCCGGAAGAGGATAAGAAGAAGTTTAGAAATGGAAGGAACATTCTACATAAAAGAATAAATTCAGCGAGGCGACTCGACCAGGCCATTGGTCAGACTGATACAATGGCTGTGATTATGAAGGAGCATACATCCAACAAGAAACACTATTATGACGAGAAAATAGAACTGATGAGAACTTTTGCCCTCAAAGAACGCCAAACCAAAGCCCTGGAATCCATTGCATTGTCGTTGGCACGTCGTTATATTCTATGCAGCGTGGAACACCCCAGGTTTTGTTGAGTTCTGTAGTTTAATAACTCTATATAGCGATAGCAACGTTGAATAATGCAAAAGATGGTATAAGAGGGAATTTTCAGTATTCGCTTACATTCCACATAAGTATGATTCTTCATTCATAGTCATTCATATTATTATTACTCGCAGGGTCTATGTAGATGAATGCAAACTATTCCATATTTTTTAGGTGAGCCGATTAGGTGCCGTTTGAAAGTTGTGTTACATCATAAATGTTTAAGGGGCGGGGGGGAATTTCAAAATGATCAATTATAGACTTATTGAATTTTTGAGATTTTCATGTCTCAAATTGAGATTGTCAGAAGATTCAAATAGGGATTTTTTAGCCTTAAATTTATACCCTCGAATTATTTCAATTGAGTTTTTCGAATATTACATTGAGACTTTTGATGGTTCAGTTAATTCTAATTCTAATTCTTTCCAAGTTTGAAATTTCATTGTTTAATATTCAATGAAAAAGTCTTGAAAGTCTTAGTTTGAGGCTTCCATAAGTCTCAATTTGAAATCATGAGTCTCCAATTTAATTTTTTTCATCTGTGGTTCTCACAAAACAGAGGCTTTACCAGTTTTTATAAATTAATCAAAGATTTTTATAAGAGAATTTTGAAATTCTGCGATGTGACATATAAGGGGAGGATCCAAGTTTGTGACGGATTTCGTCTGAGGAGATGGGATTAAATGTGCAAAAATCGTGGGACATAAAATAGTCGAACGAAGCAAGTTAAAAAAAAATGATGTCAGTGATATTAGTCTATTAGTAAAAAAAGAGACTTATGGAAAAAAGCTTCCAATGACAGTCTGTTGCATATCAATAAGATTGGATTGCGATTCGTACTATTTCAGAGGGATGGTCACATTCATTATTAATATAGTAAGATAGACGTCCACATCTCGTATATATATGACGGATATTTATGAGATAATACTCAGTATTTTTCATGGCTACGTCATTATGATTTAAGTGATGTTTTGTGTTCAATTTATTCAATATGTTCGGGATTTAATTTACTTTCTTTCATAGTTAATTAGTGTTGCAAACTGACGGGTGGGAACTTTCAGTTACTGAGTGAAAGACTGAAATGCTAGATTTTATAAAGATCATAGAAAATAACATATTTTCCACTTGTGATATGAATTATCGAGTATTAGACGATAAGAAAACGCAACGGTGCTATTCGTTGTGTTATTTGAGCAACATTCAAAGAAATGATAAAGAATTTATGCCAATAGTACAATGGAGGAGTGAAAAAGACAATGAGAGGCAAATCGTAGAAAATTAAGAGTTTATTTGCTGGTCATAATAATTATTGGGGATTGATATTTTGTATATTTCAGGATATTTCAAAATGTGATGAATGACTCATACCAATGTTTAGCTGATGTGAATACAGAAGATAGGAAGGTATTCATGACCATACCATATGTATAAGTTTTGTGTTTGGTTCACCATTTTATGTTAATCTGTAAGTATTGAACGATCACTATCCTGGGATGTTATTTATTGAAAAAGAAGACACCAAAAGTAGAATAGTGATGAAATAATTCTTTGTAGAGTGGAGTGTGAGGAAAGAATTTTCTAATGTATCATTTCTCTCGTAATTTATCTTGCAATAAATCAAAAAATTCATAGCCATAGTTTTATTGTCTTTCTTTAAATAAATTTAATGGTAATAATAAATTAACTAAAATATGTCTAAATGATTTGACGTTGGCGTAGCCTTCCCCTTGCCACCTCAGGGTTAACTCTTCTCACTGCATGTTCTTCTCCAATCTCTGGGAATTGTCTGTGCAGTCCAAAATCCACATCATCATCATCCTCCGCTGACATTACAGGTGGTGAGAGGTGATTAGCGATGCACATATTGTGCAAAACTACACAAGCATTGATTATTTTTGATGCAAAAGCAGGATCGTAGTGCAGAACTCTTTCCTTCAAAAGGCACATGAATCGCATCTTCAGAATTACATTGACTCTCTCAATGATTGACCTGATGTGGGATATCCGACGAGTGTATCGCTCTTCAGGTCCAGAATTAGGGTGATTGATAGGTGTCAGTAACCAGGGCCTTAAGCCATAACCAAAGTCACCTAAAATTTCATTCGGAACTTTATGAAACACACATACAGTTTTTTAATAATATGCAACTATACCAATGATTAATAATTATTTTGTATAATATTGAGTGACTTGATTTGTTGGGGGGTTATTCATATCCAGCAATATAAAGATAGTCAGCATGTAAAAAAATTATACCATTCTATATTGTTTATTGACATTTAAATTATTGCTTTCAAATACCCTCGAGTTTCTGACGAAATTTCCGGATCTTTCCAAACGTTGAATTTCCATAATTTATCTTTTGAAAATGAAATTTCGTTGAAATTCTGTGAATATCTGGGGATTGTATTAATTGATCCTTTAATCGTCATAATTCCTCAAATCTTTTGAGAAATCTCCTGATTTTAAGGAATATTGAAAATTGTCCAAAGTATCTTTCTGAAACTCGTTAAATTTCTATGACTCTTCAAAGGGTCCCAGATTTTTTCAGAAACTTCTACTATTTCCCAGATTTTTTGACATTGCTCATATCTTCCTGAAGTTTTTACTCTCGTTTTCGATTGAATTTCAAAAAATTTTTTGGATTATTTTGCAGAAATCCTAGGTTCCCTCGATTTTTATGGAAAACCTCGATGGTCAATTCCTTTGAATATTCTCTGGAAGTTTCCAATTTCAATGAACTTTCTAGAAACTTCCTGAATTCCCGCGATTCCCTCGAGTTTTTCAAGAACGCCCCCCTCCCCTCCCCCTCCCAAATCAATAAATAAATAAATCCCCATCGAAAATTCAAACTTGTAGAAATTTCGGTTACGACTTGGCTATTGGATTGAATCTATCATTCCAGTGAATGAGATATGGGATTAACGAAATGTTTATTTACCGATCAAAAAAAATCTTCATCTCCAGCAGCATGTAATCGTTTCATTGTTGTAAGAACACGACTGTTATTCCATATGAAACTGTCGTGTGATCTTCCGGGGTATTTTGCATTCACATGGAGAATACGATAAGTCGAGTCACAAATCTGGAGACAAGAAATAGTACCGTTAGTTTCGTGAAAAAATTGAGTAGTGAAACGTCAAAGACTCACTAGTTGAACGTGGATGGAATGGTAACCCTTCCTGTTAATGTATAGATACTCGACATGTTTTTGAGAGGGCACTATGGCCACGTGTGTACAGTCGGTACACCCCACAATTCCAGGCATATGATACTTGTCATAGAATCTGTTAACAGCAACACAAACCTCATACAAATTTGTAATGCCCACAAAAAAAATTTAGTGATTTATTGATTCAAGTCGATTTCCTAATCGAGTGAAGAAATAGGAGTAACGTGATCGGATTAATCTCAGTCATGACTCATTTTGGGTATAAAAAATATTGTTTCATGACAATTATTGTCGAGTAGAACCCCGACTTGAATCAAGCAGAGTTCGACTCGAATCAAGTAGAATGTCGTCTTGAGTCAAGTTGAGGTCGACTTGAATCAAATCACCAACTCATACTCGATTCAAGTTGATGAAATCTACTCGAAATGCATAGGTTCTCGACTTGATTCAAACCTACTAAAATGAACTAAGAGACTCTAGATTGAATTGAGAAGCTTTTTTTTAATGTACGCATGAAATTCATATTACTGATCACCACTATTGCGACTTTTTACTCAAGTTTTCACTTTGATAACAAATACAATATTAATTACCTATAACGAACTTCTTCTAGTTCTGATAAATTTCTCGGAAAATATACCCAGTTGTTGAAAATGAATACACCTGCTCACAGAAGGCTGACTAATAGCCAGATAGTAATTCAACCCAATATCCATTTGATAACCACCATAAGCCATGAACCGTAAGGTGGTTAAGACCTACAATTAGTTAGTCATGCCACATTTAATAATGAATAATTACTGTCACATCTGATGTACTCAAACTGTTAGTAGAAATGTAAAGAAACATACCTCGACAGTGGTATCTAGAGCTGATTCTCTTGGGGGAGATGGAGTACGATCAGACACTAAATCAACCAGGTCATCAAACGTCGTTTTCTTTAATCGGAAAATTGGTACAAACTCTTCATCCGGTAATTCATAAGGATCACATCTCGGGTGAAACTGACGAACATAACCTACCCGGTGACTTGCTTCTCTTCTTCTGGCTTTTCCATCTTTCCAGCCTACCCTCGCCTTTCCTCGCCACCTCAGACCACCAGACACTTGGCACTATGTTCCTGAGGGTCTGCCCTTATTTTTCACTATCACTTTTATCTTTCGTTTCTCACTTGAGTTTTTATTCGCGCTAGGGAGCGTGCTCTGGGCCCATAACCTGTTGGATTGCGGGTGGGGACACAATAAATAGTACACGGGTTTTATTGTTAGAACACTGATTTATTGGCTACACGTCTCGCGTCTCGCAATAGAGTGAACTCTCACAAGTTACAACCTGATGGAGAGGAGATCCACGCATGCGCAAGATCTAGCCTCCCCATAACGAATATATATGTCATAGGGAAGGGCCTAAGCCCAGTGGGACCGGGAGCTAGCTCCTCCTTTCCAACACTAAGCATTTCCGCAAATTTTATATAAAACCGGAGAGTTTTGTAGACGGAAGAGTTCTTCGACTTTCCCTTGAAACCGTACAATTTCCTCGCATTTTCCGGTTTTTAGAAAACAGGACAATTTGCTCGAATTTTTTAGAAAATTGGAGAATTTTTTCCAATTTCTTATAAAACCATAATATTTCATAGAAGTTCCCAGAAAACCCGAAATTTTCCCCCATGACGATTGATCCCGGTGTTGTTTGACCCTCGTAAAATTTGACCATTCCCTTGTGATGCTCATGAAATTTGACTATTCCCTTGTGACTCTCGTGACCCTCATGGTGTTTGACTCTCGTGAAGTTCCACTATCCTCTCATGACCCTCGTGATGTTTGTTTGGCCCTCGTGAAATTTGACCATCCTCTCGTGATTCCGTGATGTTTTGATCCTTGTAAAATTCGACCATCCCGTTGTGAGCCTTGTAATGTTTGACCGTCGTGAAATTTAACCATCTCCTTGTGACCCTTATAATGTTTGACCATCGTGAAATTCAACCATCTCTTCGTGACCCTCGTGACCCTCGTAAAATTTGACTATCCCCTTGGAACCCTCGGGATGTTTGACCCTTGTGAATTTTGAACATTGCATTTTTTAAACACTCAAAGGATACCTGATTTATGTATTGAAATTTGAATCCATCGAATGGGCGCCTAAAAGATACTGTTCAAAATCTAGCCTGCATTTTGGGCCAACTCGTTTCTCCGTCCCTTACGGAAATTCCCCACCATCTACGAGCACGCACAAAGTTGTGAGCGTGTTCCACGGTGGTCAGTGCACCACTCTCATCGAGAACGGCTCATAGAAAATCATCCGGGCGTATATCGGCGCAATCATCGGGCATCTTGTGACAATCTGGTTGTCACAGGTTCTAATTATTTTCATTTTAAATTAAAATAATTAATTAATTTAATCCTGAGTCTCGGGGGGAGCTCAACCTTCCTTTCGATAGAAACCGAGGGAACCATTGGGAAAATTCCGACGAATTGGGATTATTATTATTAAATGGGAATTATGGTCGAGGAGAGGATTTAGAGGAGAAGAAGAGGACGGCTCTGAGAAAAATCTCTTGGGGCCAACTGGAACTCGCTGACCACCTAGGGACAGACCTGGTTCGCTGACCGAGGAGAGGAGCCAACCTGGAGCGGGGAAGCTCCGACTTCTGACAAGGGCAGAAAAAGGCCCCAGCATCAGGAAGCATCGTGGAAGAAAATCCACTACGATAATAAATTCGGAGAAATTGTTATATTGATAATTTGAGTCAAAACTGAATTAAATATTGTAACGATTATTCAGTCTAGGTGGCATTTAGTTGAAGATTTGATTTGATTAGTTTGAAGTTATTAAAGAGGGAGTAGGCCCTCTGATTGAGTATGATTTTTGGCGAACTGGCCGCGTGGCGTGAGTTCTCCCCGAGACATCGTAGAGTATATAGAGTAGCAGTTTTGAGCAGCAGAGAAGTCTGCGTAGCAGATATATAGAGTCGGGTATCAGTTTAATGTCGTAGAGAAATCTGCATAGCAGATAGTTAGAGTTGCGTTGAGTAAAGTCGGGTTTTGAGTTGTCTTGGAGATCTCGACGGTCTGGAGCAGCTAGAGCGGATTCTGGGGCCCTGGACTGGATGAATCGAGATAAGTTGTAGTGTTGAGCATTATTCAAGTTTCAAGGTCGCAGCCTCGAACCTATTGAGTATAGTTTTGAATCTATATTAATTCAACTGAGTGGATTTTAGAGACCGAAGAGTCTCAGTAAATCATTTTCTATATTGTAGAGACGAAATTCATTTAATTAATTTCTATCTTTCACACTGGTTGGGACCAGCGGTCCATCCAGATTGATTTTCATGATGTAGAAATTCTTATATTTCTTTTCAAAATTATTAACTCCAATTGTTGTGATTATTTAGAATATATTGGATTTTCAAAGGTATAAATTGTATCGCGTTGTAATTAATTTCCAACAATCCGAATCCCGATTAAGGGAGTATCCTCCTCCCTCCCCCTTGTCATAAAGAGTCCAGGTTGCAGATTTCTGGAGTCTTTTTTGAGTATTTTTTAGTGTTGAGAGGGAATTTGGATTTGGCATTTGTCTATTTGGCCAAGGGGCGGAAATAATTAAAATAGACTGGCACCTTTTGGGTAATATTTCACGTTGGGTTATTTTAAAAAGACTTGAGATAGTTTGTGGCGATAATTGGAGAAAATTAAAGTCATTTTGGTGTTTTTGAGAATTTTAAGGTTCGACACAATCTCATCGGTCAATTATCGAAAGTCATCGTTAATTATCGGGAGAATTATCAATGAATTGATTTTGTATTTGTACAGTCCACTCCGGTGCCTCAACTATTTATGTGAACTTCATCCAGTGTAATTTCCAGTGCAATTTATCGTTTAAATATAGTGACAATCAACGAATCTCATCTTAAATTATTCTCCGACAAATCATCCCACTTCACTTTCCCTCCCAGCCTCCCTATCATAAAAATCCGATAAGGTTTTTAACAAATACCTTTATAGATTGAAAATATAATTCCCTGTAATATCACCTGTAACGTGACATTTTTCATGGGGGTTAAAATGCCTATTACCTTCGCCCTTTTTCCCCTGAATCTAGTTAAACTAAAAAATCCAGAAATCTATGGGCGCCAGGTAATTTTTAACCGGAATTACCAAACCGGAGGAATCTACAAAATCAACTCTACTAATTCGAAAAACTCTGAAACGTACAAAAAAAAGGGAGAAAACTAGATTTTTGGGGAAAGGTAACGGTCCTTGGTTTGCTCAGTGTGCTAGGTTGTGGAGAGAGGGGTGGATTTCAGGTGGAAACGGGTTAATGTGTCAGTCCAAACTACGAAACAGCAAAAAAAAAGAAGGAGATCGACATTATCCTTACTGGTTTCACTATTGAAATTTAAGAATCACCAGTTTTACAAAAAAAAAAAGACATTTCAATTCTCTCAAAAATATATAAAAAAAGAAAAATCCACAATTAATAACTAACAATACTGACAATAATAATAATCATAATATTAATTCCGCACTCTGATAGAAAATAGTCTAATCTGACAAAAAATATTCGAAGAAATTCATATCGTCGATAAATACCTCAAATATGCCGAAATAAACATTTGGGGAGAGTAGAAATACACGCTAATCCTTAAATGCTCGAGAATTCCGAGAATTGGGGGGAAAGGTATGCGAGCGACAATGAGAGCGAGAGAGAGGAGACCGTATTCATCCACCGATTTTTGCAGAGTCAAAAATTACGAACCCTGAGACAAAATGTCCGGGAGAGTCTACCGAAGACAACAATACCCAAAAAATAATTTTTCCTAAATAATTAGGCGCCTCAGGTTAGTTAATCCCCGAGCGGAATTCTAAACGCTAAAATGCTCGCGTGAAGCGAGAATAGCCACGTGTAAACGTGGATGGGTATCTGAGGGGAGACGAGAGGGGGGTGGGGGAATTCCCCTTCGAGAAACACGGCGTACACGCCAGCGAGAATGGGCTGGAAATTCATAAAAACCAAAAATGGAATATCCGGAAATCGGCAGAGCGAATTTTCGGAAACCCTGAGATGAATTACTCAGGGAAGCCCCCCGAACACATTGATCCACAAACCCTAATTTTAATTAACTATCTACACGAATCAACGCAATTTAAACACGAGTGGAATTTCTTACACGCGAAAACCCACGTGTAACGGGAATGGACGCACTCTAACAATTCAATGTGATTAATTATCCCCTCCGGAGGGATTTTTCTCGGATAGATTCTCATAAAAGATCTTTAACAAACATAATAAGCCGATGCACAGTGTGATCGGAGCCGGGTTTGAGCCGGAAATAACCCCAAAAAGGGGAGAAATCCCCTCGAATAACCCACCAAAAAATCACGAAAACCACCCAATCATGAGTGAAAAAAGGGGGGGGGATCGGCACCTCACAATTGAATTATTCTTCACAATCACCGTTTTAATGGAATAAAATGCGACGTACGGGGCTGAAGGCCCCGTAGTCGAATAACTAAAGGCCGAAATGAATTCGGAAAAAATAAATAGACCGATCTAAAAACTCACTTTGGGTTTCTTACCTCTCTTTGAGGTGTTCTTCGCCATCGTGTAGATATGATCCAAATATAGGCACTATAATCCTAAGATAGGCAGTGTACTGGCACTAGTTCCGGTGAGGTCAAGGACCAACGCCGAACTGCCGAACTCACGAGCGTCTCGAGACACCTCAGAGCGCGGAATTCACCGCTCAATCACCCGAATTTTGATTGGTGCGGACACGCCCCTCGAAGGTGCGAATCTAACGACAATTAATCGCGACTCTCACGACCTGGCGCGATTATNTTGACTCTCACGACCTGGCGCGATTATTCAAATCTCATCTAACTCTTTTCTAATCACCTAACATGAAACTAGTTCCTTTTTATTAATTATTACGCGAGACTAGGCCGAACTGATTGTCGTTCGGATAATTACTAAGGGTCTTTGGCGCTTACCACGGATCGGTTCTCCGGGATTTTCGGGGTTAAAAGATAAGTTACCGGCACTTGTTATTACTCCACTATTAATTCCTTCTCAACTCGTTTCTCTCATCGTAAACCCAAAGGCAACCTGGCGATTCGTTGGAGACGATGGTTGCACTCGCTCCGAACGACCTGCGACCCCAAACAAAAAATATAACCAATTAACCCTCGAAAATCCAACGAAATTGGAGCGCCGGCATTTCAGCCGGACCTAATTGATTACCGGCAAGATTAACAATAGGGTGAACGCCATAAAAAGAACCGGATGACTCTATAATTTTGGCCCTTCTTCACGGTAATTTTTCTGGGCCCTCAAAGACGCGTAATTACTAATCTTGACCAATAAACGGAACCGATAACTCTAACCGGAAATAAGCCACTCGGAAGTGGATAAGAGACTCGCTCTAGGATTCTTACTCACGGATTTTAATTCAATGTTGTAGGAGTCTCGCTGTTTCCAGATCGTTTTTAGTGTTCCTAACGAACATCCCCACATGTTCGTTACACACCTTAAGTATACCTGGCATTTACCTCCTATAGTAATTTCTACGTCAAAAGCAAAATTGTTCCAAAGGGAATCTTGAAAACATCTTAACTCTTTGAATAGTCTAGTCAATCTAGACTTCGTGTTAAAAATCTTATGGGATTTTGATGATAGGAAGTTCGGGCGGGAAAGTGAAGTGGAATGATTTGCCGGAGAATAAATTAAGATGAGTTTCGTTGATTGTCACTGTATTTGAAACGATAAATTGCAATGAAAATTACACAGGATGAAGTTCAAATAAACAGTTGAGATACCGAAGTGAACTGTACAGACACAAATATAACGATAAGTTCCCGATGATTTACGATGACTTTCGATAATTAACCGACGAGATGCCCAATGATTGCGCCGATGTGCGCCCGGATAATTTTCTATGATTCGTTCCTGATGAGATTCGATGATCTACTGACCACCGTGGAATACGCTCACGACTACGTGCGTGCTCGTCGATGGTCGGGAATTTCCGTAAGGGACGTGAAAATCAGTCGGCCCAAAATGCAGGCCAAATTTTGAACATCCCGCCCGCCCTGCGTCACCTCCTGGTGACGAAGTATACTTGATGGTCCTCACTGTTAATCCTCCAGTAGATCTGCTTTGATGGGCAGTGGAACTAGTCTGTATTGCCGGTTGAACTTCCTGATGCCCTTTCCTCAGTGTGACAACTCTTATCAGGTTGTCCTGTCCTGGATGAATTTCGATGACTCAGGCGAGGGGCCATTTAGCTGGCGGTTCCCGTTCGTCCGTGATGAGGACCAACGATCCAATGTTCATTTCGTTCGTTAGCTGTCTCCACCGGCAGATTTGCTTATATCAATGAATGCACTCTCGTGCCCAATTCTCCCAGAAGTTTTGGATCCTCTGGATGATGATTTGCCACCTGTTGAGTCTGTCCGTGATGATTTGCTAGAGTAGTGGTTCAGGAACCGCCGTGAGCGGTTCCCCGATGATGAAGTGCCCTGGTGTCAGAGCTGATGTGTCTTGCGGGTCATTGGTGAGTGGGCAGAGTGGCCGAGAGTTGAGTATGGCCTCGACCTGAGTCAGAAGAGTCGCAAATTCTTCGTACGTCAAAGTCGAGGTCCCGATGGTCCTCTTGAGGTGATGCTTTATTGACTTCACAGCGGCCTCCCACTTGCCTCCCATATGTGTCAAGTGAGCGGGGTTGAATATCCACTGTGTCCCGTCTGATGCTAGCCGTTCCCTGATGACAGCCGATTTGCTGGATGCCTGGTCGAAGAAATTCTTAAGTTCTCTCTTTTCCTCGATAAAGTTGAGTTCTCTGTCACTGGTCAGGGTCGCACAGATACCCCGTCTTGAAGTGAAGCGTTTGTACGCTGCGATGAAGCCCTCCCCTGTCAGATCCGTTACCATTTCCAGATGAGTTGCTGATGTAGCGAAGCAAACAGACAGATATATGCCTTATACATTGCTTTGTTTGCCCCTGATCCTCTCCATCTCAGGACGTTGATTGGGCTAGCAAAGTCTACTCCATAGTGGAGGAAAACTCTTGATGGTATCAATCGTCGTGCTGGCAGCTATCCCATAAACTGTTGAGCTTTCAGTGATCGATGACGTGCACAAATAACGCATTTAATGATGTGTGAGCCTACTGGAGCTCTTCCTCCGACGATCCAGTACCTCTGCCCGATGTGTGCCGAGGTGAGTTGAGTTCCTCCATGGAAACTCCTTTGATGAGCGTCTGCGATGATGAGCGATGATAGCGGCGAATGACGTGGGAGAATAATTGGATTTCTCTCCTCCGGATCCAATTTTGAATTTCGTAGACGTCCGCTTGAGCAGTTCATGACGTCGTTCTCAAGATATGGCGTCAGCGTCGCCATTCGATGATTTTCTGCCAGTGAGTTTCCAGTCCTTAGAATGTTGATTTTCGCCTCGAAGTAGAGGTTTTAAGTGTACCTCACCCAGTACAGTCTTGCCTCTTCGAGCTCTTGTGGTCCTAGTTGGGAAGAATCCGGTGGCGGCTACTGTTGAAGGCGTCTTACGGCTCGATTGACCCAGGCAGTTACCCGTAGAAGCTTGTTCAACGATGAGTGTCTGATGAGCAGCACGTCCGCTTCGGCGATTCGCACTGGATGCGAGCTGATGGAGGACAAGCCAAGGTGGTCCTGTCCACCACAGTTGATGCCCCACCAATTGTTTCGGTGATAGACCCCTTGATGCGCAGTCCGCTGGATTCTCCTTACCGTTTATGTGTCTCCAAGTGTCAGAGGGCAGAGTGTCTCTTATGTTGAGAACCCTGTTCTGTACGAAGTGCTTCCAACGGGATGGATCTCCGTTAATCCAGGAGATGGCCACTGATGAATCGCCTTAAAGATAGATTTGTATGTCTTCCAACTTCAGAGTTCGTTGGGCGTAGGCCACAAGATCCGTTGCCAGGAGAGCTGCTGTTAGCTCCAGCCGTGGTATGGTCATCATCTTGAGTGGTACCACTTTGATCTTGCACAGACCAGGGTGACAGTCATTCCTAATTTCGCTGATGATGTTCGAAGATAGACCGATGCGCCCTTCGCCAGATTAGATGCGTCCGCGAATCCATGAAGTTGAATATCCGTCGAGTCGGGCTATAGATAAAGCCACCGTGGTAATGATAGGCTGCTCAGCTGTCGAAGTTCCGCCCTGACGAGTTGCCACCGTTTTATGAAGGCCGTTGGAAGTTGATCATCCCAGTTGAGCTTGAGCAGCCACAGCTTTTGGATGAGTGTCTTTGCCGTGACGATCACTGGCGTGATGAGTCCCAATGAGTCGTAAATTTGCATAATCTCGGACAGGATCTCGCTTGGAGATTGTGTCCTGGTTGAAGCTCCTCGCCTTCCAGTGAAAGGTGTCTGCCTGAGGCTGCCAGCAGAGCCCCAGAACTTTCACCGTTGACTCCTCAATTTCGATGGTTGGAGCTGATCCCGAGCCGTTCCAGAATGTGTGGTATATTGTTGCACCATTTCTGCAGGGGCATGCCGCCCGTCATGCAGAGATTGATTAGCTGCTTGATGATCTCCAGTTGATGCTCCGTTTCATGTGGTCAAAGGTGTCATTTCCTCGATAAATTTCTTGTAGCGTGAATGAGTGTCCGGATCCGATGACAGTCATCGTGTAAGCTTTTATAACCGTATCTTGGCCGATGTTGCTGTATCCCCCAAGGCGGCTGGCGATGATTTAAACGGGAGAGGCACTACGTACCGTTCCGGCAAATCTCGTCGATGAGTCTCGATAACGTGTTGTTCACACTCCGCTTCAGCCTTCGTCAAGACTGACGATGATGATGTATCCGGTAGTTCTTCCTGAGTCCACAATTTCTTCAGGAGTTCCAAGAGATGTTGAGTCGCCGTCTGTTTCGTTACTTTTAATGATGATTTCGGAGCACAGCCGGTGCAGCTGACTGGCCCCGAGATGATCCAGCCGAAGATAGTTTCCTGAGCGATTAATTTCTTTTTCGTGAACCTGGTAATTCTCTCGCAGATGATTCTCCCGTAGGTACCAGCTCCGATGATGATATCAATGGTCCCAGGTTTCAAAAACTGAGGGTCTGCCAGTTGATGTTCTCGCAGTTGATGAGGAATCGTTGATTCGCAAGTGAATGGCGGTATATTCGCCGTCAACTTGCTCAACATGTGGGCATTTATGTTGATTTCAGCAGCGGGGTCATGCCTCGCTTATAAGATGAGTGTCACTACACCACGCGTGCTCCCCGATGAGGTTTCTTCGATGCCTACAATGAAAAGTGATGATGACCTCCGTACCAGATAAAGTTGATTGACCAAGCGCTCAGAGACTAATGTTATCTCTGAGCCCTGGTCGATGAGGATCCGTGCTGGCCTTGAATTTCCATGATGATTGAGGGCGAAGACCCTCGCCGTCGGCAAGATTACCAGTTGAGTTGCATTCTGTTGAGATCGTTGAACTTCCAAAACGTTGATGGTATCAACCGGATTCACCTGGTACGGTTCTGATTGATGATTGACCTGGTACTTTTCTGACTGACGATGATCTCCAAAGTACATAGGCTTTGAATGAGGTCGATGTCCCAC